AACATTTATTTATTTTTGAAATATTCCCATTCAGATGTTCCCTTTTGACACCACTTCCTGTTATTTCACATGAAAATTTCTCAACAACTGTTCATCTGAGCAATGTGAAATTTGTTTCCTATTATGTTAATAATGTTGTCTTTCCAAAAATACATTCACTTTTCTTATAAAATTTGATGTCACGGACACTTTAAGGTTTCATCTAAGCTGGGGTTGAGACCCCACTGTGGGTCCTAAAACTCCAAATTTTGGGTAGTTTGAGGATTTCCGGGAATTAAATTAAGTATAAACTGACTGCTAAGAATTTTTTTTTGCTATATTTGACAAAATAGCAGTTAGATATTGATAAAAAAAATTGGTCTATGAGCAATATTTTAATAATTCAACCAAAAAATACTTTGATTCATGAGTTTCTGCCACAGTTTTATTTTTATTTTTTTGTCATTTGTGTTTATTTTGAAATTGGTCTTAAATTTGATTTCATTTGGCATTAAAAAGGCTTAAAAAGTCTTAAATGTAACTTGCCTTAAACTGTAGGAACCCTGTACCCAGACCATTTCAGTCTCTGTTCTTATGTTGCAGAAAACGGGACATGATGCAGACAGTGATTCGGATTCTGGAGTCTGTGCAGCTGAAGTGGGAGCACTTCCAGACCTGGACCGAGTTCTCCCGGCTGCACCTGTCCAACAAACTAGCCATCTTTGGCGTGGGCTACAACACGCGCTGGTGCGAGGACGTGCGCTACCACCACGCCGAAATCAGTTCCCAGGTGCCGCTGGGGAAACGMTTACGGGAGTTCTTCAACCCGGAGATGCCGGAGGGCCGGGTCATCATGACCAAAGTTCAGAAGATGAACTGGAAGAACGTTTATTACAAGTTCCTGGATATCACCATCAGCGAGGCCCGCTGCCTGGAGCTCCACATGGACGTGGACTGGCTTCCTGTGTCCCAGTCCCAGCTGACGGGCTGCAGCAAGCTCTCGTCCCACTACCTCCTCCCTGGAGACCTCCCCAGGACTCATGGACTCTATGCTATTGGTTATGAAGCCTTGTTAGCCTGTAACACCACCACTCAGACCTCCCCCCAGGCTGAACCCGAGGAGGGCTGCATACCTCCYAGCGAGGCGGAAAATGGGTCGGAACAGTCCGATGCAGGGGCAAGCCAGGGGGACAGGACTGGACCAAAGGTCACTTACTGCTACCTGGGCATAGCCGAGGACCGGACCATACAGCAGGGTCTCTTCCAGCACTTTCAGGGATGTGGGAAACACTCTGTCCACGGGAGGACCTCCGGCGTGACTCGGTTCCTGCAGGAGAACTGTCGTCGAGCCGGAACAAGTCAGGATCACGAGAGCAGCCGAAACCCGCCTCGTTTTGCTATTTACATGAAATTCATTGAAGTGGAACTGGACTTCCTGTCTGCAGGCTCCCTGGTGGAGTGCCTGGAAACTGCTGTGGGTTATTCCTTAAAATTCAACAACAGAGAAGCATTGTAGCTACAGGCAAACACCGCTGAAAGAAAGGGGACCACAGGTCATGATTGTTACTTCATCGCTGGTGAATCTATTTTCACACAAAATAACTGTTTATAGAACAACTGTTCACTGTCATTTACCTAAAGAACATGAGTTAGGGTTGGGCGATGGGCTAAATGTTTTTCATGATAACTTCTGAGTTTTTTGTTTTTAAAGAAGAGAAATGTGGTAAACGGTTGGTCAACATGTGGGARCAGTGCCTCCAGCTCTGGGCTGATCTGAACTCTTGGTTCTGGCAGAGTCAGCAACAAGTTTTAGACCGTCTCTAAAGTTTTTTTGATAACAAACTCCAAAGCTCGGTTCAGGTGTTCAAACTTATGGGTCTGGTCTTTCAACGTGGCACAGAACTGGTTTAACATTGTGTCACTGTAATCACCATCAGTCTCTCCATCCCTCGGTGAACCTGGTACCATAAAGTGGCTCTTGTCCAGGCAAGGTTTCACCTCAAGTCCCAACAAGGAAGGATTCAGCCATGAACTCTGTGTGTGGACCTTCTGAGCCCTCCTGCAGACCCATGAGTCTGATATTATTCTACCGAGA